TAGATTTCATTTAAAAGATACTCACCTGCGCTTATTGGACTGTCACACAGCAGCTCAGCTCAAAAGTAGGCTACAAAGAGAGTCGAGTCACTTAATAATGAATGAATACAAATGTTAGGGCGTATATGAGTGCACATGATTATACATATATACGTATATATGGCCCATATATATTTGGCCTAGATTTAGATCAAGATCCAGACATCAAGCAAATTGAACAATTTAAATATGCAAAATCTGAGAAAGAACTGCATTTAATTAGATTATTAAAAGATAATTTGCGTTTCTTCTTGTTACTTTTAAAATGAGAATTTTATATATAACATATTAATAGCCTTAGAGGACAGATTTTATAATTAAATTTCTGTGTTCTTTATAAAAAAAAAGCATTAAGTAACAAGTAAGAAAGTAGTAGACGAGTGCTACTGACTGCAGAATACTTATTCCCAATAAAAAATTTGCTGAGAAAGATTTTTTTTTTATTTATTTATCATTCTTTTTGCAGTCCTATAGAGCAGATCAATAATACCTTATTCGAACACCTTCGAACTTTGAACTAGAACTAAGCTGAGCGTGAAAATATAAGTTTTGGTCAGTTTTTTTCCACGTGTCTTTGAAGATCTGGTGCTTATATCAACTCCACAAAAACAGTTATTTTCCGACAGGGTATTTTCCGATTCTACAATCCTCGAAAGACACGTGGGGAATAATAACTCAATTATCTAATTTTTACGCTTCTAGTATAGCTTGTCACGCCTTAAAATGGGCGTAAATCTTCAATATTGAGTTATCAGCGAGTATTCCAAATCTCAACTCTCTGACACTCGATTTCTGATATACTGCCAAAAAGACAACGTTCCCATGGGGCGTACTGGGAGAATTTAAGCATTTCATCAGATGAGGCCACCCATGAGTATATACTCTAAATTTAAGGTCTGGCGAAGGCAGCCATTGCACAAGACCAATATACTCATATAAATGTCATGAATTAGTATAGCTGGAATGATATACAAAGTGTTCAACATTAATGGAGGACGATGAAGGGCGCACTATTCTGATGAAGCGCAATACCCAAGAGCTCAACTCAACTATAAATTTCTGCATATTATGTATATTAAGCTCCCTCTCCCGCTCTCTCTCTCTTCCCTTCCCCTCTAAAATGTATACATTATCCAGCTACTGATTGGAATTGTTATGCATAGCAAAATCCGAGAATATTTCAGTTGAGCTATCTTCAATAATTATGTAGATTCAGTTAATATGCTCAGCATTTGCATAATACAAACTCAACTCGGAATGTATTATGTATCGAGAGCCAATGCAATCATATATGTGATAACAAATTGTGAATATTTTTCAGTTATTCGAAAGTTAAGCGAATAATAAATTGAACAGATAAAGAGGAGAGCCGAGATGCAGATGGAGAGGGAGATGGAGGTGGGAATGGAGGCAGAGGAAACTGAACAATGAGCGCAATTTGTTGTCTATAAGCGTTGTTATTTCCACTTGAGTGAGACGACAATGCCACTGAGTAGAAGGAAAACAAGAAGAAGAAGAAGTAGCATTTGCCAAATGGAAATTCAGTGTGAGAACACCACGTTTCACTCTGCTCCCATTTTCCCCTCTATTTTTTGCTACTTTTTTCCACTTTTTCCACATTTTTTGTTTGCGGTTGTAAAACAAACAGAAACGAGTTGGCGCGGACACCGTTTGGCAAATGATATATGTGAGTGCCTCTACCAATGCTTCTGGTTGTTGTGCGTGTGTGTATGTGTGTGAGACATATGTAGGATAACAAATCAATTTTAGTGCCAGACATTGCAGAGCAAAGGCAACACACTCACTGGAACTACACCTCAGCGCTGGACTTCGTCTCTGCTGGGCGCACAAATTACTTCCGCTGTGCCAGTCTCTAGAGATGGCACTTTGAATTGAATCTTTGAACTGACAGCTTACAAAATTGTTTCAGATATTGTAATTCATATATCATAGATAGCCGAAGCTGTCAGAGCTGGATTTGCGAATTATTTTGTAAACTATGAAATTGGCTGGCCACAGGGAAACACAAAGAGCTAGCAAATTATTTGAAGTGACTCCTTCGAGAACCTTTTTGGAATGCAGACTCTAGAGTCTCCACACTCTTTATACGAATGTGGTGAATTGATTGGCAAATTTAACTTAGAGGGAACTTTCTGAATTTGGTTTCCTAGACTTGAAGCAGAGTTGCCTTTTTGACTAAGAAGCTCACAATGTGTGCTTCAGCTGATTCTCTGTCTATAAATCTATATTCAGGTCTAAAGAGCTCTTAGCTGATTATCAGTCTATTCCGAATAGATCTTTAAGCTTAATCTATAATCTACAAATTTATCTTTTTTGATCTATCTAGTCAAATCTACTCTACCTAGTGTATCTTATTGATCTAGTCTACCTAGCTTATTTAGTCCATCTAGTCTATCCAGTCTAATCTAGTCTATCCAGTCAATATTTTTCGATTTATTCTATCTAGCCTACCTAATCTATCTAGTTTATCTAGTCTATTTGGTCTATTGAGTATAATCTACTCTACCTAGTTAATCTACTCTATGTAATATTCCTAATCGAATCTACTCTAAGTCTATCTAGTCTAATCTACTCTATGTAATCTATATATATATATACATAATCTATATAGTAGATCCAGTCTAACCTAGTTAATCTAGTCTAACCTAGTCTATCTAATCTTACCCACTCTATCTAGTCTTTCTAAGGCTATCTAGTCTTTCTAAGTCTATCTAGTCTATCTAGTCTATCTTGTCTATCTAGCCTATCTAGCATATCTAATATATCTAGCCCATCTAGTTTATCAAGTCTAATCTAGTCTATCAAGTTAATATTTTTCGATTTATCCTACCTAGCCTATCTAGCCTATATTGTCTATCTAGTCTATTTAGTATAATATACTCTTTCTAGTTAATCTACTCTATGTTATATCTCTAGTGTAATGTACTCTAAGTATATCTAGTCTAATCTACTTCTAATCTTTCTAGCCTATCTCGTCTATCTAGTCTATCTAGTCTATCTAGCCTATCTAGCCTATATAGTATATCTGGTATATCTAGTAAATCTAGTCTATCTAGTCTATCTAGTCTATGTAGCCTATCTAGCCTATATGGTATATCTAGTATATCTAGTCTATCTAGTCTATCTAGTCTATCTAGTCTATCTAGCCTATCTAGTCTATCTATTCTATCTAGTCTAATCCACTCAATCTGATCTATCTAATTTATCTAGTCTATCTAGCCTACCTAGTGTATTTAATCTATCTAGTCTAAGCTAGTTTACCCTCTGTAATCTACTCCATCTAGTCCACCCAAATTCACTTCGCTTTCAATTTAGACCAATGCATACCTGGTCATAATCAACATAGTTGCCCAACAGCTCGTGGCGCACACTTCAGTTGAGTAAAAAAGTATTTGAAGAGCAAGCAGTTGGGGAGGAAACGAGATTCGTCAGCGTAAAAAAGGCAATGGACAGTGGTAGCTGCAGCAACAGCTCCATTCACAGCTCCAGTTCCATGGCGAGGTCCGCTTTCGATGCTCAGCTCTGGGCTGTGTGCTCTGGGCACTCGGTTCTTCGTTTATCTCAATAAATTCAGTGGCGAAACGCAGCGAATCGCTGTCACTTTTGATTGTAATCGAGTGTTTGCAGCGTCGCTTTTTGCACTCCATGTGGCTGGCAGTCCAGCGGCAGCCGTCGGCGGCTCCATGCCACACAACACTGTCCATGCTCGCTGTCAAACAGTTTGATATACTTTTGCAAACTACGTTTATACGATATCCATGCTGTGTCTATCTCTGTGTGTGTGTGCGTGTGTGTGTGTGTGCTTGCCAATTGGATTTGACATTTTATTGGGTTTTCTTTCTCGTTACTGCCGCTCCACTGAGTCGCAGCTCCCTTTGGCCGCCTCCGACCCGGGTCCGGCTTGGTTGAGATGCTGTTGTCGTTGTAATTGATGTTCGGTTGCCTGGCCGAGAGTCCTTTGGTAACATAAATCTAATGACCTGAGCTACGCATACAGCTGCACCGGACTCGGCTGCGGTTCGAAGTCGAGAAGATAACATTCAGCCTGAAAGATTGAATTCCTTTGCCGTGCTTCCTTGCCTTGACTTGTCCAGCCAGGCCATGGCTTGGCTTACGTTTATTTTTGTTTCCTTTTTATACAATATATATATTTTTTTTATTCTCTTCTTTTTTTGTTTTTGGTAATTAGTGCAGAGGCAACTTGATTATCTTGGCTTGTACTACAAGTTCGCCCCGGACCGACCCACTTCAGGACGGGGCCAGCGCACGTAATTGTGCTCGTATTGCAATCATTCATTTTGAGCTTGTTATAAAATAGCAAAAAAGCAAAAGGCCATAGTCAAATAACAGACAACTGGGCGGGCAGTGGGCGAGGCAGGCCTTAAGAATGTTTTTTTTTTTTCTATTTTCTTTCTTGCTCACTGAGAAACTAAATAAACAGAGGCTTGTGCCCAGCAGATGTAGCTGTAGATGAAGACCATCATTAGCTATTTATGTGAAGTAATTTGGGACTCTGTGCGAATCGAGGAGATTGTTGAACTAGCAGCTCAAGTCATTAACTATTGCTTAATATAAGAACTACATGGAGAGGCTAGAATTCCTCAAGTTCAATGGTCCTTAAAAACTCTTTGGTTAGGTACAAATATTCAGCCCTTATATCTTAGGGTCTTAGAGCTTTGGGTTCTGGGGATACCCAGGAGAAATCCTGATCTGCAAGTTATAAGGGTTTTATATAATACAATCATAGAGCCTATGTTCTATATGATACCCTGAAGAGATACTACTACCACTAAATAATACTACTATACAGACATTAGATCATAAGGTCTTACGGGCTTGGGTCGTGAGCATACTAAGGTTCACTTGTCTTACGCAAAATATAAAGGCCTACAGACTTTGGCTCTGAGAGTCTACGGTACTCGGGCTACCTAGTTTCATAGAAGACTTTTGCCTTACTTAATGTTGCTCCTTTTCTCTATTTTGCAGGTCTCTCGGACACAAAGCTTCATGAAATCTTTCTGGATGACAAGGAGATCAAGCTGAGCTGGATGGTTGACTGGTATAAGCAGGAGGTGCTCTTCCATTTGCAGAATGCGTTCAATGAGCAGCATCGCTGGTTCTATTTGGGCTTTTCGAAGCGGGGCGGCTTGGCCGATGCCGATATTTGTTTCTTTGAGAATCAGAATGGCTTCTTCAATGTGGTCACCGACACCTACACCAGTCCCGATGGTCATTGGGTGCGCAAGGACTATCAGCAGGACTGCGAGGTCTTCAAAATGGACGAATTCACGCTGGCCTTCAAGCGCAAGTTCGATACCTGCGATCCGCTCGATCTGCGATTGCATGTAGGTGGACTGTCATACTTTCAATTTGGCAAACTCTCTGCTATATGTGCTGTCCTGCTCTGTGTGTGCTTTGCAGGAGGGCACCATGTACGTGGTTTGGGCACGCGGCGAATCGGAGCTCGCTCTGGAGGATCATCAGTTCGCGTTGCCCAATGTGACGGCTCCACACGAGGCGGGTCTTAAGATGTTGCAGCTGCTGCGCGCCGACAAGATCCTCATTCCCGAAACGTAAGTGTGGCGGGGCCTCTCTTTAGCCTGGAGGGGTATGGGTCTTACGCTCTTGGCTATTCCTCAGCGACTTGGAACTAATCGAAATCACGCTGGAGCAAGCGCCGGTGCCCACACAAGAGACCACCTACTGGTGCCATGTGCAGCGTCTGGATGACTTTGTCAAGAATCGCATGCATATCGTGCAGTTCGAGCCAATCATCAAGTCGCCCGGCATTGTGCACCACATGGAGATCTTCCACTGCGAAACGGACGAGCATGTTGAGATTCCACTCTACAACGGCGACTGCGAACAGCTGCCCCCGGCGGCGAAGGTCTGCTCCAAGGTAATGGCACTGTGGGCCATGGGCGCCAGCACCTTTACGTATCCACCAGAAGCCGGCCTGCCGATCGGTGGCCCCGGCTTTAATCCCTATGTGCGGCTCGAGGTGCACTTCAATAATCCAGAGCTACAGGCGGGTGAGTACAGAGAGAAAACTAAAGAGTTTGTGCAGAGATCTGAAGAATATAATGGAGGAGAAGAGAGTTGAGCTTAATATGGGAATGAAGAGAAAAAGGTATTACAAAAATCAGAAGAATAAAAGGGCTAATCAGAAAAACAATCCTCACGATTTTCATCTGTACTAAAGTATTAAGAACTACAAGGAGAATACAACGGCGAAGTTAAATATTTAAAGAGCAGTAAAGGATTTTAGAAAATCTCGATCAACTTCAAGAAAATCGTTCATGTTTGGATAGTGATATATATGCTTGAAGTAGAAGCGTAGAGTCTAGATCAAACACCTTTAGTCTTTCTTTGTTTTATAGATAAGTTAAAGTTGATTAAATTTTAGTTAAATCGATTCCAGATCAGGGAAAAAAACAGCTTCAAAAATATAAATAATTTATCAAAAATGGAATAAAACTAGGAAGTAGAATTTAAAAAAAAATAAAACTAAAAATAAAAATATTAATATTTTAAAATATATCAGGTGAGGGTATATTCTAGTCATGCATCGTCCAACAGATATCTTTGTTTGTTTACCAACAATGTTTCGTTGTTTTTCTTGAAAAGAGAAGAAGAAGCTGAAAGTGGCAAGAATGTGTTCGCACTGACAATGTCAATTTACCAGGGGTAATTCGATTTAGATGATTGTTGAGCTGCTGCTTTTGTGCGTTCCTCACGTCTACTTTTTTTTTTTTAACTCTTTTATAAGAGTATAGAAAAACAGCTATGTATATATGTGCGCTATATAGACATACATTTGGGTGTATGCATAGGGCTGATTTCATTAAAACTTTTGTATAAATAACAGCAAGAGGGAGTGACTGTGACTGTGACTGTGACTGTGTGGGTGTCTGTGACTGCTACAATCCGCTGAGCTGAAGCAAAATGTCATTATTGCTGCTTGAAGTGTCCTTGTGTCCCCTTATATCCTTACACATCCTTGTCGATGGCCTCATCTAGCGCAATGCATGGCCACACAGCATACTCACTGAACCACTCAGCCCAATGTCTTACTCACCGTGTGTGGCTCTCTCTCTGTGTGAGTGTGTGTGGGTGTGTCAGCTAGAGATGAGTCGAATTTCAAATAACATGAGCACTAATAATAATTTTCTCTTAATTTATTTTTGAGTTATAGACTTGGTTATTTTTACTTTTTTATTTTAATAATGGAATCCGATTATTTTTGAAATCGAAACTCTCCTAATATAATTTTAGATTTCTTTCATTATTAAAAGATCTTATTCATAAATTATTATTATTGAAATTTAATTTTATTGTTATTTTTTTTTTTAATTTTTATATTTATATATAAAATAAGCTATTTTACTACATTTCAATGTGTCACGACCCCCATCATAAGTCACGACGGCGACTCACGCACAATCGAGCACGAGCTCTTATTGTTTTAATGTCATGTGAGCACGAGATGTTGAGTAGTGCCTGTCTCTAGGCATGGGGGGCGTTACGACGGGTCGTGTGTGCATCTTCAACGGAGCCGCTGCTGTCCGTCGTAATTTCTGTGCGCTTGCATTAATATTAATCATACGCCCTGCAGGTCTGATGGACAACTCAGGATTCCGCATTAAATTATCGAAGACGTTGCGGCAATACGATGCTGGCGTCATGGAATTGGGTCTCGAGTATACGGACAAAATGGCGATACCGCCTGGCCAGACGGCCTTCCCACTGAGTGGCTACTGTGTGGCGGACTGTACACGGGCCGCACTGCCAAAGACGGGCATCATCATATTTGGATCGCAGCTGCATACGCATTTGCGCGGCGTTCGCATCCTGACCAGGCACTTCCGGGGCGAACAGGAGCTGCGGGAGATAAATCGCGATGATTACTATTCGCATCACTTCCAGGAGATGCGCACGCTGCACTACAAGCCGCGCGTCCTGCCGGTAAGCATTAAGCTCTTGCTCTCACTCTATATGCAGTGGGTAATCTGCTCTGCATCTTTCTCTCTGTCTCTCTGCAGGGCGATGCACTGGTCACCACCTGCTATTATAATACGCTTGGCACTGCGAATGTCACTCTCGGCGGCTTCTCCATTAGCGATGAAATGTGCGTCAACTATATACACTACTATCCGGCCACCAAGCTGGAGGTGTGCAAGAGCTCTGTTTCGGAGGAGACACTCGAGGATTACTTTATCTATATGAAGCGGTAAGCGGATGAAATGCGGGCGTGCTTAATGTTTCAATTAAGACGGAGGGGGAGCAAAGCGATGGAGTTAACAGCAGGAGCTGGAGGGTAGAAGTGGGGTCGTAGACTTCCCCTTTAGCGGAAACTGAGCGAGTTGAGAGACCAGCGGGAACGCAACCTAATGGCAGTTTCTCATCTATCTCTCTCTCTCACACACACTCTTTCTCTCTCTCTCTGTCTGTTCGTTCTTCCATCAAAGGCAAAAGTTTGGCATTCCGGCATTTGTTGCGGCTCCGGTTTGCGGCTGCCGCGCTTTAAGCGTATTCATAACGGAAATGTCTTCAGCTTCCTGTTCATCCGCCCATTCGCCCATTCGCCCATCCGCCCTTACGCTCTTCCGTTCGTCTGTCCGTCCCGTTCGCGCTTTCCAAGGTGCACGCTAATTGCCAGCGTTAATGGGCCCAGGCCTAAACTGGCGAAGGCCTTGAAGGCGCGTCGCATTGTTAGCTGTTTGTGCTGTTTGTGAAGCCAGCGTCAAAAGAAAAGTAAAAACTCATCTTCGCTTTATTTTTGAACATTAGATTAGAGACTTGCGAGACTTGTGCAACTTGCGAGACTTTTTCGGCAGCCGAAAAATTGGGTTCAAGCCTCGTGCCGGCACACAAAGGCCGCCTGATTGAATGGGAGAATGAGAGAACTTATGAAAATTTACGTAGCACAAAAAGGTAAAATCCGTAGGTGTCTGCCAGCTGTGACGGGCACAAGAAAAGCTTAGCCAAAATAGGCAGCCTTTATAGCTGGGAAACAAAGGGATAGCTTGATATATATAGAGTCGCCTTTAAAAGGCTGAAAATCGCTTGTCGACTTCTCATGCAAAGGGCCTGAGCAATGCACCCAAAATAAGGCGGTAAAGTTTAAAGTAAGTTGAAATTGGAAGGTATCCAAAAGTGTTTCATTCCCATTCCATTCCAATGTTTGTAAAACAAATTAACATGAAGAGGGTACAAAATTCAAAGTGAATTGGAAAGTGTAAAGCTAAAAGTGTTTCATTTCCATTTCATTCCAGCGTGTGTTCTATGTCTTAAATAGTCGATTTCAATTCCTTCATATCATCTGGTCTTTAACTGGGTTTACTTCACAGAGGTCTACCTATTTGCCCTTGTTTCATTCCACTGTTCCAGTTTATGTTTTGGGTATATGTATCTATGCCTCAATTATCCCTTTTCTATTACAACATATTCAGCATCCTCCTTTGAGTTTGTTTCATTCCATCGTTCCATATTTTTGCTACCTATTCTGAGTGCTAATTTATCAGATTTGACGACGGAATGAGGTCCAAATGAAAATTCCTCATTTCGTTCAGTCCTGGACATTAAAATTCCTCTCTCTCTCTCTCTCTTTCTCCCTCTCACCCTCTCTCCGTGTATCTAGAAAGGAGCACCAGCATGGCATACACTTGAACGGAGCACGTTCGGCGAATTATCGGACTATCGAATGGACCCAGCCGCATGTGGACCAATTATATACGATGTACATCCAGGAGCCGCTCAGCATGCAGTGCAACCGATCCGATGGCCAGCGCTTTGAGGGGCACAATTGGGAGGGCGTGCCACCGACGCCAGTCCAAATCAAAATACCCATCCATCGCAAGCTCTGCCCCAACTACAATCCGCTATGGCTGAAGCCACTCGAGAAGGGCGAGTGCGATTTGCTGGGCGAGTGCATCTACTAGGCAATGAGCAATGAGCACGGCCAACGGATACGGAATTCCAATTACGTATTTCGGCAAATGGGGGCGGGGCATGCACATGGCACACACACACACACATACAGACACACTCGCACGCACGCACACACATACTCAACACATACACATGCATGCTTTTGGCAACGGGTTTGTAAGGTTCTCTCTAAATGTTTTTTGTTTCTTGTTGTTCTTTTTTTTTACAGTTTTGTTCACGTTTATATGGTAGCATATGATGATTGTCATCAAGAACATCAACATCAACGCTTATTGTCAATTGAAATGGCAAAGACAAAAGGCTAACGGGTGGCAAGCGGACAAGGGGGCGGTGCGGGTACGGGTACATCGTCGGGTGTTTGGCAACAAAAAAAAAAAACTTTCTTTAAATAACTAATGAATTGTTGGCCTTTGAAATTTGCCGACCGAGCTGCTGGCCCCGGCTTCAACCGGCAAATGACACAAAGGGAAAATGTAAAAGAAATGTGGCAAAAGCAAAGAAAAGAAAAGAGAAGAAATGAAACAAAACAAAATAAACGAAATGCCGTAAGGAAAATAAATGGAGAAGCTGTCGCAGTCGCAGTCGCAGTCGCAGTCGCCGTCGCCGTCGCCGTCGCTGCTGCCACAAAGGCAAGCGGCAGCTCGCTCGGGGCCACGGACTGAAACAGTTTTCAATGCAAGCCGACGGCCCTGTTTATACAATATAAATGAGTCAACTTTTGAGCCTGTCGAAACGCGTGTAAGATAAAAAGGCTGCCCAGTCCACCTAAAGCCGTCCGTCCACCTGGCCAGACCCAGCCCACGCGGCAGCTATCAACCAGCTCTAATTGCCCGACATCAAGTCAAGTCAAGTGTCCGGCACTTGCAGCCGCACTTGCTCTTCCTTTGCCATTTCGATTTCGATTTCTTGTTTGGATAGCCAACAGCCAGGCATGTGTCCAAAGCAATTGTCGACGATTATCGATAGCAAGCACTTATCGATCTTCGATTTAAGTGTATCAGAGTTTATTTAGAGTTTCAGCTGGAGAAGAGAGGAATGTGAATGAATGAGATGAATGGACTGGAACGAGCACAGTAGAGAATATTTAGAAAGGTGTATAAGAATACGAGTAGAGGTGTGTATAAGATCCTAGATCGAATGAAATATATAGAAAGGAGTATAAGAGCTGTTAAATCTGAGCAGAAGTGTGAATAAAATCAGTGATTCGACATGAGTAGAAGATCAGCTGAGAATAAGTAGAAAAACGTAGAAGATCTGCTGAGTATGGGTCCGAAGTGAGTCTTAGACCAGTTGAGTATACGTTGAAAGGAGTATAAGACCAGCTATAAGATGTATAAGATCAGCTAATTATAAATTGAAGTAAGTCGACGATAAACTAAGTATGATAAGAAGTGATTTATGATCAACTGAGTACCATTAGAGGCCAGTATAAGATCTGCTGAGTGTGAGCAAACAAGAGAGAGTGTGTATACGAATGGATATAAGATGGGTAGTAGGGAAAAGTATAAAAGTATGACTATGAATACAGCTGAATATGAGCAGGAATTGATGCAGACTCAAATGAGTGCTTATAGGAATGAATACGTACGAGTAAACACCATTGAAAACGTGTAAGCTTTGAGTGCAAATGAATTTACGACAGTGAGAATTTCGACAACTTTTGAGTGCTTTTGACTCTCGTTCACAACTTTCGAGTACTTTAAAGCGCTTGTTGTTGATGTGCTTGATGACAATTTTTTTTTTTTTTTTTTTTTTTTTTTTAAAAAAAAGAGAATAAAGAAAACAAAACCGAAAATCACCAAAGATGATAAATATAAATTTGATGTACACAAAATACATATGCAGAAAACATTGAATGGATATGTTTAAGTGTAGCTACATACATATATATTTAAGATGTGATAATTGTTCTACGGCTAAACAAAAACAAAAAGAAAAGAAGAAAACCTATATATGTACTAGATGGAAATTTATATATATAAAAAAAAAGTGGAAACAAAAAAAACTAACCAAAAAAAAAAAAAAAAAAAAAAAAACCCCAAAAAA